CCAAACCAGACTCACAGCCACAGGCCAAATAAAATCCATTAAAGCATGTGAAATGCTTAAAAGGTTTACAGCCTGCACAAAGGAATCTCCTGACCTCTTTGCAGCCTACTTGATTGCCTGGGCGGCTGAATTTAATGCATTTAACAAAAAGTTAAAGTTCAAGTTTTCAATTCCCATATCAAACTTTGCCCGGGCCAAACAAGCCGAACACTTTGTCGTCAGGATAAATATTTTTGGTCTTGACTTCAAAGCTTTATTGGCTTGGCATTTATATTTTTGAATTTTTGACAGCCCTTAATCTTTTGTTGAATATGGTTTGGTGTGATCATATTCTGTTCCGTATTATGGAAAAACTTTTATTTTTTGCTTTTTTTAATTTTCAATATATGCAAAAAAATTCTAAAATATTTAATAAGATTTTGTTTTGCCAATGATTTTTTGAAAGTTTTCTTAATTTTTTTTTTTTTATACCCTGAACCCATTAAAAATGGGTAAACAGGGTATATTGTATTTGTGGAAATGTATGTAACAGGCAGAAGGAAGCATCTCCGACCTCATAAAGTATATATATTCTTGATCAGCATTAATAGCCGAGTCGATCTAGCCATGTCCGTCCGTCCGTCTGTCCGTATGTATGAACGCAAGGATATCAGAACCTATAAGAGCTAGAGACTTGAAAGACTTTAGCTGTAGGTCCTCCTAATGCCCCCGCAGATCGAGTTTGTTTCCGATATTCGATAACTTTCCCAGTTTCCAAGTAATCGATAAAAATCGATATCGAAATCTTGTTTTTTGAGCAATTTCGGCAAATAATAAGAGCTAGAGTAAAATTTCATTAAGATCAGTTAAGAAACACAAAAGGTATGTGCGCACGTGTTAGCAGCATAGCTGCTGCGCAAATTCCAAGAATTTCTGTATACATGTACACACACACATATTCATGCGCGTCTGCTTTGAATTCTATCAACAGCAATGCAATTGCGATTGTATTGTTTTCTGTGCTGTTATTTTAATTGTTTTTCTCATTAAAGCTCAGTTATTGGTGTGGCCCTTGAGTAGAGGCAGCGGCAAGTGGTGCGGTTAGTTGCGAGTTCGAACCCTGCCAAGGGAACAATTTTTTTTTCTTTTCATTTTTATTTATTACTACTAAATCAAACGAGCGCGTAGCGCGATCTGCATTTGGTGTTGGAAGAAGAGGGTTCAGGGTATCCCCTAGTCGGGAGCTCCCGACTAGAACCTCTTGCTTGTTTGTTTTTAATTTGATGCTACACATTTTCCTATATTTACTCTTGTCATAGTCAATGCCCAAAGTCCTAAATTGAGACTTTTATAATTATTCAAATCTTGGTACTTTCAATATTCAAAACTGAACCGGTTATTATAATCTATATCATTTTTATAAATTTTAATTCAAAATTAAAAAAAATTCAAAAAATGCCTTTATTTGCCTTCCCCATTAATTATTTACAACTGAGAACTTCGTTCTAAAATTGGAGGTTTAAAGTTTCTTTGCTTGAGTTGAAATTTTTAATGAATTGCAAACAACAAGCTGTTCGGAGGCCCAAAGATTTCTTTGGTACCGACAGCTTAGGTTTAAATCGCTTTCGGCTAAAATCGATTTGTGGCACAGCTTACGTTTAGGCCTACATTTGGCCAGGGGTTTGGCACCCGAATATAATCAATTGACAAAAGTTATTAAAAGTTTAAGCGAATCGTATAAAAGTTTTTGTTGTGTGTGCCAGAAATCACAGCAAAGAGCTCGCGCGCCCTTCCATTAAATGGCAAACCAATGCAAATCAATAAAGGGCGAGAGGGGTGCGAAATGAGCTGGGGCGGTGCGAGGCGGTGCTGGGCATTGCTGGGGACTTTGAGACAAGTTTATATCGTAAATTGTGCGCAACGAAAATGAGATACGTAGAACGCATACCAAAGGATTTCTAAGTAAAACATTTCTGATTAGCCCCAGCCACCATGTTAGCTGGTGCTTCCAAGTGTTGGCCCAGGCAAAGGACCGAAAGGACACAAAGCGACAGGAACTACCACAAATAGATGGAATGAGGGGAGAGTGTAGACGGAGAGGAGACTGGCAACTGGGTGCTACTGTTATTGAGGGGGGTCCAGTCTATTTGATGTTTTGTGCTGACCTCGCTGTGGCTCGAGAAGAGCGCAAGCATAATAAAATCAAGATAGAGAAAAACCGAAGGCAAGGACATGAAGAGTATCGAAACAGTAAAATCAGTTCGATTTGGCGCTGAACGCGTGCTGTGCTCCCTGTCTTAAGGCGTGCTTTTTACCTAAGCAAAACAAAAGTTAACACGACTTAACGCGTGATTCAACATGATTAAAATACGACTCAACCTGACACGAATTCATACGTTTCAGCCTTACGACATGCATTTTTACAAACTAACAGGCTGCACCTACTTAACAGGCGACAAAGCACGACTTAAACACGACATAAGCCAATTTGACTCTACTTAGCACGATTCAATAAATTTCGAACACGACTGAGAATGACTAGACACGACTTAACAGGACTAAGCCTGATTTGAGCGCGACATGACCCAACTTGACACGACACGAGCCGCAATAAGACTCAATACGAACTGATACGATCCACCCAGACTTAACACGTGACGCATCACGACCTAACACGACTTTAGGGAACCTAACACAAATCTTCTTGAGCAAACACAATTCACAATAACGCCCGACGTTCCAGCAGCCGACTTTACAAGACTCGAATTTGGCTTAAAACGACTTTACTTGACTCAACTCGACTAAAGATCAACTAGACACGACTTAGCCGAGCTAAACACGAAGGTAATTTTAGTATTATCGAATAGAACTCTACAAGAACTTGAACTCTACAAATATCAGAACTTGACTTAAAATTACTGAAACACGACTTATATTTATACTTATACGACTTACATAAATATGACGGTGGCGGTCTATTCATAAAAAAATCTGTAATTATAATACAAACAGTTATGCAAATAAACCAGATTGCGAATTATAAAGGAAAATATTTTATAAATATATAAAAACGTAGAAAATGTAGAAATCTGTTTTAAGTAAATATTTATAAATTTGTGCTTCATTAAAGGAGACCCATCTCTAGTTGAGTTGAGCTGAGCGAAGGAGACAGGGCTGGCGGGCGCCGTCTGTGGGGTAGCTACGCACTCTGACTCAGGACATGGTCTGACTCTAATTGAGCTTGTGTGGGGAAACGTATTAAAGTCGATGTGTGAATGTTTGTTTGTTGCCTGCCTGGTTGGTTCGACAGATTTGCCCGAACTGGCAGTTCCGTGCTTGGGGCTTTGGATGAATAAAAATATTGTGTTAACTTTGGTTAGTAAACTCTCAGTGAAAGTCTTGTTGCCTGCGGGCGCTGTCCGTAAGTGTAAGCGAGTCGCAATCATATCTCGCCATCTCAGTCTCTAAGTGTATTTGTTTCATTGCGCTGAATGCTAATGATGGGAAAATTTGCGAATTTGTGCCAGGCGCGGCCCAGGCTGGAGGAGAGAAAGATTCTGAGCTGAGCTGAGTTCTGTTGAACTGTGCTGAACTGAACGAAGCTGAAATGCTAATGATGTAAAAAGCTTCAACGCTGAAACAAACGACAACATTTTCGGCAGCACGGACGGGGGGACGAGGAGGAGCACCCTCCAATGTTGTCCTCAAAATGAGGCAACTGACTTAACTTAATTGAAGTTGCCTTTGCTACTCTCTGTCTTGCCAATTGGCTGATGGACCCGCTGCTTCGCTCTCTCTCGCTCGCCTTCGTTCATTCACTCTTCATGCGATGTTTTCTGCATTTAAAAGCTATCGTCTGTCGTTCCATTTGACAGTCCTTGTCTGAGCCATTTTGGATGATGTGATCGGATGCTCTCGCTCGATGTGATTTCGTAATTAATGAAGCCCTGGAATGGGCGTAAATGAAGCTTAGCGGTTTATTTTACTCCCCGCCACGCACCACTCAGCGAGCTGGCCAAAACGTTTAGTTTGCCTTAGGAACCTGTCAAGAAAACGCACTTCACCCATTCGTCGTCCTGCTTAATGGGCACTTGGCACTCGCAAGTGTTAGACCCCAGTTGGATCTGCTTTGTACAAGTTTTCCATTTAATGTCAGTCACTGCCATTACAAAACCCCACAGAAAATCAGCATTAAAAATTATAAGGTTTAATTAAATTTACTTAAAATCATTGTGAAGAAGTGGAACTAGTCAATCCCAACAGTTGGCCAAACTTAGAACTGGACCTCGAATTGACTTATAGAAATATTGCAATTCTTATATTCATTTATGAGGAGGTCAACTTATTTTAGAGTTTCCTTAAATTCGTTTAGGATTAACCTAAACCTTATTTATTGTCCGTAGCTTCGATATTTAGAGTTTTTATAGTGCCTTTCTTTGCGCTTCTCATAAAAAGTAATTCACATATTATGAAATATGTTGAGTTGAAAATTCAACTGTCGGATCACTGTTAAACCATGTTTTTTCGACACGATGTTTCCAATTAGCTTATAAAATATTTATGTTACACACTCCTGCAGACAGAGCTGATTCATAAATGTTAACTTTACTTACTCTTTCAAAAGTCAAATTTGCTTCTGTTTCTGTTGCTTTTCAGTTGCGGCTTCTTCTTTTTCTTCTCTCGTGTCGGTCGACCAGACCGGATGTTCGGTTCGCACTTTACTGCTTGTGCATATTTTGTGTCGGGGCGAAAGCTACTTGATGACTCGACATATTATGATAAGCAGTCGTTTCAGAGTCGAGAGTGTTTGCTGCTTATCAAAGTCAGAGAATAGTTCCCCTACATCATTTTGAGTGGCTGTTTTTATTTATAGCTTCTAAAAGAAGATGGGAGAAAGCAATGAACATAAATATTTAAAATAATATAAATATTTTAATGTAAGTATATATAATTCTTGGTTTGCTAGGGAGCTGGTAATTTAATAAAATTTAATAGTCTCTAGATATAAGTTAAAGATTAAGTGATATATATTTTAAATGTGTGAAAGTTACCGAATCAAAATTTGATGGGCATTCGAAAGAAAACTCATTACAGAATTCAAAATGAATTAATTAAGGAACGTTCGAAAACAGTCTCAAACTGAAAATGCCGCTTACATCTCTAGTGAGTATACAAAACCGGACACAAATCAATGTCCGCTCTGAGAACTTTTCTGAAGTGTAGACGACTATAAAAGTAGCCTTTCCTCCACTCTAGGCAAACCACAAAACACTTGAATTACAATTTGCAATTATGACGTTAGCAAATTCGGCTCGTAGACTGCTTTTAGTACTTTCTAGAGGGGCGGGTACGAGTGCGGGTGCGGGTTCGGGAACTGCTTTGGGGCATTCTAAGTAATATTCTCGCTTCAGTTGCCTTTTGTTCTCTGGACACTTTAATCACCCGACTTTAATAGCTCTTATCAAGTGGATGCTGGCTGCAGTATCCAAGGCCAAAATTGTGCAGCACTTCCGGCTCGTTAACTTTGATGTAGGTGCAGGAGCAAAACGGATGCGGATGCGGGTCTATGTATTCGCACTTGGCCAAGTGGCAAGCATTTGTGGCAGCCACTGACAATGCTCCATTAGCATGCAACATATTTTAATTAGCCAAATAAATTGTAAATGTCCGTTGAGCGAAATAAGCTGAGAGACTGGCCCTATACGCGTGTGTGTGTGTGTGTTGAAAACTGGTGCCAGTGTTGCAAAATGCTCCAGAGAAAACTCGAATCTGAACGCTGTACTGCTGCTTTGAGCCTTGGGCCCGGCTAGTTAAAGTTTAAGTACCTTTTTGCTAGCCAAGATTTATTGTGAGCAGACCAAAAAAAAAGAGAGAACAAAATATATTTAATTTATATATGGGACCCTCGGCATGGCCATTCCCAGGCGTCTGTTTCATTTCACTTAACGTTTAACCTGATGTCATTAATTGGGCGCAATTAACGCGCCTTTAATGACGCCCTCCGGTCATGTCCAGCGTGTATATATGTATACACACTATATACATATGTACAGTTATACCTACATATGTATATTTAATTAGCGGGCCACGTAAAGTCAACACTTGGTGCGCAGAGGAGAGGGTAGGTAGGCTGGGGGGCAATTGGGAGTTATAGCCGCCAACGCGTCGCTTGATAAATAGCCAATAATTCTTACAGTGCTTTAGAGGCGCCTCGCCGACTGGATATATGAGGGCGGGCATACAACAGGCCAAAAGCTACCCGCTACATGCCCCAAAGACCTGCCCCTACGACAGCTATGCCCTCCTGTTGTGCTGGTAAAAATAAAATAAATGGTGTGGCATATAACCTTGAGCGTGTGTTGTGGCTATTATCATTTGTAATTTGCAGCAATTAGTTGGGGCTCAAAAATTCTAAAGCAAACTTTGTCGACAACAACAGCAGCTACTGAGGAAGAACAAGAAGAAGCATAGGAACAACAAGGACTAGAACTCTGCCAGCGGCCACGTGGCTGACAAGGAATGAGAGCGAGAAAAAAACAAATAAGTAGGCACTAATAGAGAATGCTAGACTAGGAAATACCTACAAAACAGCTATATTGCACAAATGTATACAACGACACAGCGCAGCTCTATACAGAGAGATAACCAAACCTCCGATTGAATTAAAGCTAATTAGGTTCATTTGCCAAGCTCATACAGTTTCCGAGTTCGATGGGGCTAAATCTCTTGAACAATAAGAAACGTGAGTGCTTAAGCTAAGAAATGCGCAGTTATGCCCTCCCTATGCTGTTTCCTTAAATTTCATACAATTCGGCTACCCTTTTGGCACATTTCTTCGTTTCCAGGGTTAAATAGAGAATGAATTTATTGGGCTTGGGTCGGCTTACATATTTATAAGGCACATTAAATTAATTTACGCATGTTTTGCCATGTCTACCATATACTTTGGCATTACCTAACACTGGCCAGAACCTTGGCACTTCGGGGTACTTGGGTCAAACGAAACTTGACTGGCCTGTTTACAAACGAAACACAGCCGGGAGTACTTAAATATCCTGCGCAAATACGTGTACCGAGCGTAACAACAACAATAACAAGCATAATTAGTTCTATTGATTGTCGAATTGTTGATTAACATGTGATACCGCAATCAAAATGAATGTTATTTGGGCTACAGCTGCGCCCAATTAACGCGGCTGTGTTCTTTTCGTGGGGTGTGGGGATTGACGGGCTGCCAGTTTAAAGTCTTAGTTAAATATTCCAGAGTCGCTTCTGCTGCCTCCTAATTGGTCTCTTGGGTGTCCTAAAAGTTTTCGAGTTGCCAGCACGCAAGAGCCTTGAATATTATTATTATTACATTTTTTTGGCCATTTGTAAAAGTTATTTATTTACTCTGCCAACCTCCAGACACATTACCTTGACATGTTTTCAAGTTTAAATATACTATATTTCCTTTAGGATTTCCGCATTGACCATTCATGAAAATATTCACAACAAATTACCAAGCTCCCTTTTGTTGCATTTAAATCTTTGCAAGTTTATTTAAGGATGCTTCAAAGTCAATTATTGCGGCTTTCTGCAACATTCTTATTTAATATTTTATGTTAAGCATAAAACAACTTGAGTTGAGATTTTGGGGGTTTTAAGTGAGTTTGAAGACCAACAAGCCTCTCTCTGCTTCTCACCTCTTGTGCTTTTCAACTCTTTGCTCCATTGTTGATAATTCTTTAAGTACAGATTTTCTACAGTCATTCTGTTGCTTTAAATGCATTAAGTTTTCAATCGCAGCTAAGTCCTATGCATTTCAGCCTGACGTAAATTTCTAAACCTGCAAGCCTTTCTATGCGCTTCTCAGCTTTTGTCTAATGCTACATCACGTCAGCTAAGTAATCAGCGCAATTCGGAGCTTTCTGCAAGCTCTTCAATTACCTGGGCTGTAAGCCTCTCTCAGTAATTCTCAAAATGTAAGTCAACTGCTGACAGCCTAATTGTGTGCCTCACGCTTTAAAGATTTTCAGCAGCTTAACGCTTAGCAAAGCCTTAAGCCAGCAATCAATTGAACTACTGCTGCCTTGGAGCTAGTTTTGAACTCTTCGAACTGTTGAGCTATAAGCTCCTTTCCTTGTGCCTCCCCACCCCTTGTTAGGGGGGAGGATAATCGTCTAATCCAACAATTTACACATAAATGCTTTACTCGGCATTGACACGCTCAGGGGACTTAAGGACACGGGGAGACAGCACATATGTATAACTAGCACAACAATAAGAGCAACAATTAGTTCTATTGAATGTGTATGCGTGTGTGTGCGCACGTGGGTGTGTGTGTGTTGCGTGTTGGGACTTGGCCATAAAACATATGGCTCCACGTATGAATAATAGATTCAAAGCCGCGTTGCACAGATGCAAAGTATTCGTATATATGCATTTCTCTATTTGCCGCAGCTATATATAGTTACGTCCAAACTAACCACCCCCCCCCCCCCCTTTCCCACGGCCTTCAGCCTGGGTAACAACTCAAGTCGTAGAGAAGAAGAAAATGGTGTGCAAACTTATGCTTATCCTTATGCGACGTTCTGCTCTGCACGGTCCTGACCTGCCTTCGGCTGTCTAGATAAATTGCAGTTTAAACCCACTTGGATGCAATGTGTCGGATCCTTGGGAAACCCATATCCTGCTCCTGCATTGCCATGCAACATTTTTGGGCGAAAATCTGCGCCAAACGTTGCATGTGAATGTTGTTGCAGCTGCTGCAGCTTCTTCTTCTTCTTATTTGACTGCCTGCCAAGTGCGAGCGGGTTAGCGGGGCAGCGCTTGAGATTGAAATAGACTTGTATTTTAAGCGGCTCAATATATTCTTAATATACTTGAGCCAGTTGGCGGTAAAAGTTAATACGATTTAACTGGCGCACAATTTGCAGACAGCCAACAACAACAGCACATGCGGGCAGGAAGGCTGACTGCGGGGTTACGCCCACGCAAATATGCAAAACATGCCAAAAAAAAAAACAGGAGCAACTGAAACGAGCTAAAGTGGAATTCTGGCTACGGTTTTAGGGGTTGGGGTTAAAGCCACTTTGGCTTGCCAAAAATATGTATTAGGCCACTTGACAGCGTCGCGGGCGGGCGGCGACCCTTAAAGAAAGGGCTGCCCCGGGTGCTTTGGTGGCGGGGCAGATTTGTGTTGAGCTCATGCGCTTCATGAATAATTTGCGCCACAATGTCGCTTTGCTGGCTTTGCTTATGTGCTGTTTATATATTTTTTTTTTTTGCTCGCCTCAAAACAATAAACAAATGTCCAAAAAACATATGCAAAGTCTAAGCTTAGTTGGCTCAGAGTAGTTCCTATGTGTGGTGTCAAATGTGCCTTCTATGTGGTGCTCTAAGTCTGTTGCCCTGTGTTGCCCTATGTGCTGTCAACCACAAAAGACAAAAGCCCCGCGTGCGTGTCATCAATGGCGTCACACTGGCCCAGGGCCGTTTGGGTTCAGAGGGGAGGAAGATGTCAGAGCGGATGCCAGCCCGGAGGCTGCTGAGTCGTCAAGTCGGCAAGTCATCTAGTCATCTAGTCATCAGTAGCGTCATCAGGCGCAGCAGCAGCAAAACAAATGACTTCGGTTTTAATATACCCTAGCTGTGGGCATTGCAAATTTGCTGCAAAATGTGTGAAGCATCGCTGCCAGCTCCAAGTTCATAAGTTTTAAAGAACTTCAGGAATAGACGTGAAATTAAGAAGGTGAACAGGTCATTTTGCTGATCAAAAAGCCCCTAGCTATATATACCTCTTCCTCTCTTTATCTTTCTCTTCTCTGTCTTAAAGTTTTGCTAGTCTATGCTGCTGGATTTAAACTGGCGACTTTTTTCTTGTTTTCATTTTCCATTTATTTGTTTTTACATTTATTAGCATTGTTTTTTTGGTGAATTCGAGAACAATAACAAATTTAATAACGAAATAGAAAAATTACAAAGCTCTGCTGGATTCAATCCAGCGACCTGCCGTTTTTAGTTCGATCAGTACTTTGCTTTTAAATTTAAAGGCTTTGAATTTTTTGCGCTCGCTTGTCCGGCCAGTGCGAATTTGAGATGAATTTATTAATCCATCTTTTGATTTTTGATTTAGCCTTTTAAATAATATCAGAATTTGCAGGTTTTCTAATGAATATTATTAAAAAAATATTATTTGTTTTAATTAGGAATTTTTTTAATCGGATTCACATTCTCTTATCTCTTTTCGAGATATGCAAACTAAGTTTCTGCTCTCTGCAGCAATTCACATTATTTAGCATTCCTTAAAGATTTTGTCTGTCATCAGCTTTATGCTGCTGCTATGCAAAGAATATGACCGCAAGGGCATTAAATATTCGACAGCCCATTGATAACAAAAAACTTCTTCATGTTTTATTTGTTTTCGTTGGCGATAAAAACGTGTGAAATGCCATTTGGCAGGGACAGGACACACGAAACAGTCAGGTCAGGTGTATGAAGTGGGGCGGGGTGAGTTGAGCTTGGGGTGGGGGTCACCTGGTCTTAACACTGGCCATCTTTACAGTCAGCTTTGGCAAATGATAGTTTTTATCTCAGGCGGCAAGTGTTTTGCCACCATGAGTTATGGTTGCTGCATCAAAAAGGCTTTGCAGCAGCAGCAGCAGCTTCAAACTCGATTGGAATGCGGGCAAGGTGCTGTGTGTGTAAGCTGAGTGTGTGTGTGTGTGTGTATGTGTGTATGCTATGGCCCACATGAGCAGCAGCATAACCATCAGTCTCAGCCTCCATTCCGCCTGGAAACGTGCGCACAATTCATCACATGCTGTCAGTGTCGTCTTCACAGCAGCAACTCGAGCTGCTACAGCAGCAACAGTCTGTGGCTT